ATTAAAAAACGAACAAGAATTATATGTAATGTTGAGCAAAAACAATGATATCGGGAAAACGAAAAAAGGACAAAATAGGTATTGTTACCTGATAGCATCCCGGAACTTCTTGTCGCATAAACGAACCGTGCGTTAAGGCCTCGACCAGGAGAGAAACATCCTGAAACTTATAGCCTAAAAGACTTTCCAAGTGTCTTATATTAAGAAAGAGTTCTGGGTGAGTACACATGTTCCTAGTACATGGTACACTCACAAATTCGACACTTATGCCAATCCACGTCATAAAAGATAAAGCAGCTATTTCGCCTCCCGCACTAAGGAAGGCGCCAATTAATGCCTCGGTCACATCCGCCACAGTTTTACTCTTTATTTTTCTGCTCCGCCCAATATACACTTTTTTAGACGAAAGCATCTCTTCTTGTAATATGTGGTCAGGATTATAAGCCCCCGGTATTATCCATGTTTTTATATCCAGTGGTTCATTTCGGATAAATCCCTGAAATTTATAAATGGTGCATTATAAGAAAGGAGATGACCCATTATAACAGCATATTATTGTTATTCATTACCGTGATTTTGCGGAGGCATCCGAGCTTGCACAGGGTAGCATTGCAAATAATTTTCTCTCTTTTGATGCTTAAAAGCCCCTCGTGCCTATTTTCATATGTTTTGAACAGCTGCTGACTGACGGCATATTTGAGGAAAGAATCACCAAGAGTCTCCAAAGATTCCAAATGAAGCTTCTCTTGGCATTTCTTTGTTGTGATCCCCTCCAACACCTAGCACAATACACAAATGGGTGCTTAAATTTTATTGAAGAACTTAAGAACATCAACTTAAACCTGAATAACATTTTACATCATTAGAAAAATTAACAAACAAGATTCACAAAGCTGGACAATAAATGATCATTAAACTAGAAGAAAGTAGAGAGGTAGAATGTGTAAATACCCTAAGGGTTGGAATAACATTTTGGTGCGTGCAGAGACCCAAAGCCATACATCTCAAGTTGGCAGCAATGAGAAGTGACTCAACCCGATGCATAACAGATGGAAGAAATGAGAATGAATAGAATGTTGAAATCGATACAGGGGACATGATGATGGAACACAGCTCTGGAGGTAACTCGCATGAGCTGTTACTTGGTTCTGCATAATTAAGTTGAATAAAATAAGGATAAGCAGGGAAAAAAAAAAATTAACACATCCGAAATATCAATTTAACGAGTAAAATATAGTAAAGGGGTGTAAATCTTGAGAATCAGAGATAAGATTTTACAGCAAATTGAAAAAAGTCTATTACAATAATCAAATCAGTAGATTACCCTTTTTGCTCGCAGTTCGACTTCTCTGAAGGTAGTTGTGCACGGAAAAGACGCGTTTGCCCTTAAGAAGAGTTTCCAGTTCGTATTGCAAGTTGATCCCATGTCTGCAAGCCATATATCATCTTAAATAAAATAATACTTTATTAATCATTAGTATAAAATTAAAAGTGTAAGCAAATATTCAAATCATACAAACCTCGTTTTGAAATACTTCTTATACGTAACAGCTTCTCCATCTCTAAGCTCAAGATATGAATTCCCATCAATACCCTCCAAAGTGCCCATTACACAATAGAGAACACCGTTATGAGGCGTGAGCACTAACGAGTTCTCTATCATGCAACGACATACCAAACCATCCTTAGTGGGCATATGAGAATCGTAGTTTTGACGTGAAGAGCAATCAGTACGAAAATGCTGCGAAGCATTTTCAGGGAACCGGACAGAATTAATCGACGACCAATCAATCGACATGCCTTGATCGGATTTAACAACAGGGAGAAGAAGATAATTTAACCCAATCGAGGACCCATTTACCTCAGGGCTTTGGCCGCATTTTTTAAGCTTAGTAAAGTTATGATCAATTAGAACCCTGAAAAGGGTAGTTTGGAATTTCCGGCAGAGCAAAACCTGCAATCGCAGTTTTCAAATCTCGATTCAGCTTTACATAAATCATTAATTATTCCCATATCAACATAAATCATTAACTATTCCCATATCAGCATACCTGCTCCGGACTCAGGCTAACATATCCAAAGTACTTCACATGCGCAACTACACTTCCTCTATCAGCATCAAGATCAATGTCAAAACTCTCAAGATCATTATCCAGCCTTTTATGAACTGCCAGCAAAACGTCCTGAAACTTGACATCATACTGAAAATTCGGCTGTAGCACGATAAGGTAGCAATGGAAAACCGTTTCTGATAGATTCCCATGAGACCCAACCAATTCTTGCGGGTAATATTTTGGATGCTTGTCCATATATGACACATTTCCTGTAGATTCACTTTATCAGTCTCAAGGTTAGAGAAATTCACTAAATAGAAAATGGTTGGAGAAAATACCATATTCTACGGCTGCAGCTTCAGCTTCAGCTTCTTCCTCGACAATATCTGGAATGAGATTGTCCGTGAGGGCACCAAGTTCATGAAGTTTCTTGCAAGCCTCGAGGCATGCAAGTTTTTTAAGAAATTTCGGGTTGCCCTGGACAGTAATCGTTTGAATTGGGCAGCTACTTGGAAGGTGAAGCGTACAAGTACCGAGTTCCTTGTTTATATCACAGTAAGGATTAGGTTTGAAGTACCTGAATGTTTGAGAAAACATCGATCTTAACGCCCACTTATTTTCCTCAACAATTAATTTACTAGTTTTTTTCTTTTTTTTTTTTTTTTTNAATTAAAGCAAAACTGAAAGTGGGTAAGAATCGGGAATGCGAAAAATTGATAGTAAAGTAATAATATAATAGTCAGAAATGCCAAGAACAACAAACCTGTCAGAAGGAAGGCGTGAGCAATAATAATAAAGCAAGCCCACACTAGAACTCATAGTCACAATAGCTCCTGTGCTTTTAACTTCATACCAAGACTCACCATACATTTCACTCTGAAGAGGTTCACAAGGAAGGTGAGAATGGCTCAAACACTCCTTGCGCATGATATCTCCACTAGCTAAATACTTGTTTACTCGAGAAAGGGCTGAAGAATCATCCCTATAAAATGCAAGAAAATGATTTTATTTTTAAAAAAAAAAAGACAAAGAAGAAGAAGAAATATAATGAAATTTAATGACTTTGACCATAAAAAAAATTCAGTCTTCTATAAGTATCTGAAACCAAAAGTTATACAATAATGTAAACCAGAATGTTATGATGGAGGTATCTTTAATATTGAGTACAACTGGATATTTAGCCCAAAAGTCGTGGTTCTTTTAGAATTATCCCCAAATGCTATTTACAAAAGCAATCAATCAAGCTCACCTTTTCACCATTAGAACAAAATCTGAGTTTGGCATTCGAGCACGTCCACGCGATTGAATAAAGCTGCATATGGTAGCTGAAGGGTCAAATCTAATTACGAGGTTGCAGCTTTGGACATCTAAACCCTCTTCAAGCATAGAGGTGGCAATGATGATGTTGACCTGCAAAAACATCATGTTTGAGGCAAATAAAGCTAAACGTTAACATGCCCAAACACAAACAGATATAATACCAAAAACAAACAACATCTCACCGTTCCTTTGCGGAATTCATCAACAATTGCATTCTGT